GGGGGGGGGGAAGAGAGGGGAATGAGAGCCGAGATGGAGATAGAGGGGCATTTACTTGTTGTGCTTTGCGCTCCAGCGGCGGCGGGCGGGCAGTGGGGGTCCTGCCACGTGATTCGTCCCATCGCACCACCAGCCGCCATTTTCTCTTTCCACTCTTCCCCCTGAATTTGCTGGGCGATGACGGAGTGGCAGTGAGTTCTTAAGTTAGTCTAAGACTCTACCCAGTTAGGTTGCAGCCTAGGGGAAAGGGGAGGTTGAATGCCCACCGGTGACTAGCAGTACTGTATTATTATAGCATGGGCAGTCATCACCACCACCACCACCATCAGCAGCAGCAGCAGCAGCAGCAACATCCCGCATAATGCGCCTCGTCTGCAGCCTCGTGCCTGCAGCTTTGGCAGACCAGTTCCTCACTCAGTTACCACAAATCCAATACCTACCCCATCTAACTTGTATGGAGAGCTCACACAAAGCCATGACGCTTGAGTAGCCTAATCACAATCTATTGACCGCAGTGACAGTCAGTCCCTCGTTCTATTCTCGGAGCTGCAGCCAAAATGAATCTTGTTTTCGCGCCGGAGTAAACCGCCGTTGATGGGTGGCTAACCATGGAACTAGCCCCGGCTAGCCCAGTGATATCACGTCAGTCCGGTCTCGGTAAGGCTGCAAATTCGATAGCTATGTACCTAGTATCCCTCTCCCCTGCACAGCCGTCGCTCGAAGACACGATGCGACTGTAAACGATGATAACACGGACATTGACCCACTTGCCAGAGTGTATATGCTTACATCATAATTTTATTCCTGTGAAGAACTAGATAGATAGATGCTGTGCGGCGTCGCATGATGCGTAAGATGGGAGTGCGTAAGGACATTATTGTCCACGCTCGAAACGCTGAAGTATAAAGATGCAAATCGTGTCTAAATACAAGAACTGCACCACACGCTTGATAACTGGGTATATAAGAATATGAAGATCGAAAAGAAAGTATTTAAAAGGGCATAAAAATCAGATCGTCTCATGAAACGTCGTCAACTTGACTGTGCGATCCAGCAATGCCTGGGAAGAATAAGACTGCAGTTCAAATCATTATGAAGAAAGCCCGAGATTTGAAGCGCTAGGCCATGTTTGAAAGTAGTTGTCAAGTCCGTGGCTCGTAGTTTGGGAAAGCCGGGCTAATTGCAGAAAACGGTGTGCAAACAGCAACCTCAAATCAAGCGCGCACGGAAGACCAAGCTAGAAGTAGCGCAGGCCTACCTAGTATAAGGCTGCGCACCTGGACCAAAGTAAAAGCTTTGAAATCTCATCAATCCTCTTCCGCGTGGCCGCCATCGATGATTTTGCGCCAATGTTGCGGAAGGCATACGCAGACGAGTGGAAATGCCTTGATCTCTCCTAGCGGAGGCGGAGAAGGGGCCGGCCGTTGTGTGCCATTCGAGACACCGCTATCGCGCTGCTCACGGTGTCTAGCGTCATGGTCATCAACGTTCTCGGGAATGCGAACGCCGGTAGCCCATCCGTCATCCCATATACCGATCACCTTCAGCATCTCGCCTCGGTCCAGTGCGAATTCATCTCCTGCTCGAGGTTGATATGCCCATAATACGGCCACCTTATCACCGGGATGTATCTCATCCGGCGAATAATAGTCCTGGAAAGCAGACAATTGCTCCGACTGTCCGCTTGTCACGCCTTCAGGTGACGAGTAGTGACCGGCTCCCATTGAGCGCGGTGAGCTATCAGTACCCATACCAGCCAAGGCTGAGTTGCTAGATAGCGAGCCGTGACGCTTGCCAGTTGTTGGGGGTATTTTCTTGGACATAGCACCCGGGCTTGCACCATACTCTGAGTCGGAAGAGTCGCTGTACTTTCCGCCCCCGAATAAGGCGGCCGAAAGACGGGATCGTGCCGGCGATGAACTGGGCACCTCGCGCAAAGCAGACATTCGAGCGACTCGTCCTCCAGGAATGGCAGCATAGCCATTGTTTACCTGGGCCTGTTGCATTGATGGAGACCCCTTCCGTTGTGGGTTCGGCTGGTTGAGGCCACTTTCATCACGCGCCTTGCGCTTGCGGCGCAAGCAGATGAAAGCGAGTAGGGCGAGGGCAGCCAGTAAAGCAAGCCCCGCCACGGATCCTATCACAATACCTGCGATCTCTCCACCAGATAAGCCATCCGAAGCACCGGCTGTTGAATTTGATGTTGACGTCGACGTAAAAATTGGTGTTATCGTTGAAGAGGGAACGGTTACATTCGAGCATCGGGTAGCTGCTCCTGCGCTTTCGCAGCAGGAGTCGGTGGTGTTGGTCGAGCTCGTTTTGCAATGCGCACACAGCCCCAAAAGATTGGACCGAAATCCACAGTTTTCCGGCTCATTGTCAGCTCCGGCGACGCAGCTCACAGTGATCGAGTCAGCAGGAAGAGCGCAAATGGTGAAGTCGGACCGAATCTGGGCCATGTAGTCGTCAGCCCTTTCAGGACAAAGGTCGGAGTCGGTGATTATGGCCTCTTCGCTTTCAGCCATCTGAGCCTATTCTATGTTAGTATGCAAACAATATGTCCTGATCAAATGAGAGTCTAACGCAGGCGTCAGCGCAAAGCGGTCTCGAATCCTGAACAGAGAGATTGCAGTCGTCTTTTGAGCTTTGGACCAAGCTACTGCAGATCACACTAGTGGTGTAGCGGGCATAATAGTCGCTAGTGTCAGTGAGGTTGGCACCTTCGCATCCTAGATAGTCCAGGTATCTGCCGAGAGAGGGACTCGTGAGAATTTTGAGTTGGTAGCATAGAGGGCTGGGCAGGCTCACTTTGACTTCACAAAAGACTGCATGACATAGGTATTCAGCTCTTGATCGAACTGCGTTAAGTTGGAGACATATTGCATGAATGGACTATGGACCGCTTAGCATGTCACTGTACTTCACATAACAGCTGGGCATACGTACAAATCCGTGTAGAGACTTGAGTTGGTTGATATAGAGGAGGTATTGAACGCAGGGCATTGGGTCGAACCCGAGAGTGAGATGCATGTGCTAGGCATCGTTGCAGCACTCAACCGCGCTTTCCCGTAGGTGTGTATACAGGGCTGGTGTGGTGTTTAGAGAGCGTATGACAGACTCAAATCCAGTTTGCGGTTTTGTCTTTGGTGGGGCAGTATATCAGCAATCGCGCCCCATGATTTTCTCGTCGCTTCCTGTTGCACGCCGTCGGAGCTGAACCTGGCTGGGATTGTTCGATTCGATGATGAATTTCGACGCGCACACGGACTTTCAACTAGGACGCTTGCAGGAAGTGAAGTCTCGACTAAAGAAACACGGGGATTTGCGGAGAGTTGGGGAAGTGAAAACGATAGCACGACGGCAAATGGGCTAGACCCTATCTGCCTCAAAAGCCGGCGGTCAAACGAGCGACTAGAATCTGAAGGCTAACGGGTCAATTGAGGTCGTCCAGAGAGAAGAGGGCTAGAAATTTGGTAGACAACTGAATTGATGAGAAAAGGGTAACTTGGAGACAAAGAGTGGATGTAAAGTAAGAAGGCAAGCACGAGTCAGAGCTGATTTGAACCTCCAGGCTAGTTTGGAGTCGGTGGCCGTGCTTTCCCCTCCCGGAATCCCTACTCGACAGCCGCTGGAGGAAAACAAAGTCGCTCGTCACACTTAAAAATAGCTAGTAGAGACCTTCCGTCGATAACTTATGCGATCGAAAAGAGGGCAACAGTAATTGAGATCCGAACGATGGGGAGCGCGCAGGGTTTGAAGAATTCAGGAAGTGCAATCACCAACCTATTGGGGAGTTGGGGGACTGACAAGAGTCAATAGACTAACTTACTGAAGTCAATAAGGGGGTTCTGGCGCGGGCGGTTCGCGAAAGCAGCCGGCGTCTTCTCAATTCAACCTGCATCCACAGCACAAGCGCTCAAGCTCAGTTCCTCCACATCCAGGAACAAAACAGTTTCTGTTACCGATCGAGTTAGTCGGGCTGGCAGGGAGCAGGTTCCTATCGAATCAGAATTAGATCGAGAGGTCCCCCAGCTTCGAGCTCCACAGGCTATCTGGAAGTGAGCTTCGAGGTAGATCGAACCCATCACCGGCTCCAGAGTCCAGACAAAGAACAATCGCAGAACACATACGTTTGGGTCTTGACTGCAACGATCCTCGGCGTATCCTATAATTCTGAGTGCGCACTCAGTCCGCACAATTCGTCGTCGCGGGGTTTGAGACACCACCGGAATTTAAGTGATTGTATACAGCTCGTTTCAGACGCTCAACAAAAGCCTAAATGTCAAGATGCGAGCAGAAAATTGAGAGAGGAGAGAGGAGAGAAGACAGATGCAGGAACCGCAAACTTTATCATCCGGATGGTCAGGAAGGTTCTGTGATGCATGGCAAGTCACTGGAAGGTATTGTTCCCAACTGACGTGGCACACCTCGACCTTGTGAGGCTGTTAGTGCCAGAAGCATGAACTGAGATGGGCATTTACAGTCAATCTGATGATGATCCACCTTGCTGATGAATTGTTCCTGTCTACAACCCTGGGTTGAGCCAGCATGCAAAAACAGGTGTGCATGGCGTTCCACACCCTGGTAGCCAGGCATTTATTGACTAAGGTGCTACGAAGTATCCGTACCTACAGCAGCATTGGGACTGCAAACACGGGAATGAAGCCTGAACCAGAACTCCAACCTGTGGTACGCTAGATAATAATCATTCTAGCCCTAAGATGGAAAGCTCCCTTTTGGGCCCGGGGGTCGGGACTCGGCGGGTCGGATATGGAAGCCTCCATATTGATCTGTTAATTACGGGGAGGTATAAGTTATTACCTACCTATTCACCATTTGACCTGGCTATGATCGCCCATTGATGATGTCTTCAGTTCAACTGACAAAGACTTGATGATACACATCTATTCAAGTAATTCTCGGAGCTCATTAGGCTGTTTCAGGTTCGATTGCTAATTGTACGTCAGCCACTAGGAATGCTAGGTTGCTTGACACTGCCGCTGTTGGGCCGATCGCCATTTGCGATAGCTCACAATTTAACTCATGACATTGACAGAGATTTGTCCACGATCTGCTTCCTCAATCTCACCACGTAAGGTAGCCTCTCTGGCTAGGTTAACTTTTGGCTATGCTTCAACTCCCGGCCAATTGCTGGCAGTAGAGCCGTTCCAGCCAGAGACCACCTACCATGTCAACACTATTCGAGTTTCTGCGAGCACCTAACCTTACCACCCTTGCGTCTTGTATAGCGGTCTCTGATAAACTACACCATAGTAAAGTAGACCCAAAGGATGTAAGGAGCTTGGCGTCGCCTGACTATTCATTGTCTTGAATTGAATATTGTCTCGGTCTGGAATAAAGGTGGCTGTAAGCCGTGGTTTTCGGATCGTGCAGTACTATGCTTGGTTCCAGATGACAGTTGCATGCGAGCAGATTCAGACCGCCATGAGATGCCTCACAGATTCCTCCATTTATTACGCAGATATACCTGAGCCTCGTATTCAAATCAAGACCCAGCAGTGGGAAATTCAATCCCCCGACTTATAAGGATTGATGTCGGGTAATTCTCCCGACATGTTACTATATGTGTACATGTTGTGAGCTCTAGATTTCTCGAGGCGGGTCCTTGGGTCGCCGCCACTGCAACAGAGCTCGGCCCCGAAATCTACCTTAAGACGATGGTGACGCCCTGCTTTGGGCAGTGATATCGGAAGGGAAAGAACTGATTATCTGGGTTGTAGCGTCACTGACTTCCTGAGATAGGTTGCCTGTTGGTCATACTGGATTTACTCCCAATCTTCGAGAGGCAGGGGTCCTTTCTCATGCGCAAAAGCTGGTTATATATACCTCGCCGCCGTGGGTCCGAAATTCCTTTCCGCGCCCGCGAGTCAGACGAAGAAAAGGTCTATTTTATACAACACTATATACCGTCCATATCATATACCCAGCGGTCCATCTATATTGTGCGACATGAGGAAGTATGTCTCATGACTGGACAGGTTATAGCCAGCGACTCTTGACTATGAGTATAGTTAGCACCAGTTGACAAGAGAGGTGTAGCATCACAAATGGATGGATATGTCCCATGCTTTCACTGTCGAGCGAGTCGGATTTTTAGTGGTAGAGTACAAGACGATGGAGATTAGTGAATGCTGTTCATGCTGTTCATGCTGTTCATGCTTTTGTGGAAGGCTGAGGCTGACAGCTAAACAACAAAAGCATCGAGAACTGCCCGCTATGTCAGGTGATAGAGTGGCATGGACGACGTCATCTGATCGCGAGCCTGCAGCAGGCATCCATCCGTCCTGCCATCACTCCACCACTGATTTTCAATACACCTTGACTCTGATCCACCAGAACAACAAACGCGTGTCTGAGGTTGATCCTCTCCAGCTACTATACAATCCTATACAATCCTACTTGCAGGGTCAGGCATTCGTCCCATTACCAGTGACTCAACCATTGCGACCAACCTGCGAACATGTGTGGTTCAGACATCTTTCTAGCGATCCTCGCCATTTTCTTCCCTCCGATTGCGGGTGAGCCAGAGATCTTGACATGACTACGTGCTAACCGCAGATCAAGAACTAACATCGTGTGTCCAGTGTGGATCAAAGTAGGCCTCTGTACGGCTGACTCGGTCATCAACCTTGCTCTCTGCTGTCTCGCCTATATCCCGGGCCTCCTGCACGCCTGGTACATCATTCTCAAGTACCCCGAGCCAGACTATGAGGACCCTAGCTATGCGCCCCTCCCCGGGAATCACGGAGGCGACGCCGAGAACGGTCGCGTCACATATTACTATGTCTCCCATCAACCCATCCAGCACCCATCCCAACGGGGCTATGGGACCCTGCCTCCGCAACAACCCTACGCGGCGAACGCTCAGCCTCAGCAGCAACATCCCGCACCTCACCAACAGCACGAAAATGCTTCTGGAGGCGACGGCGGCGGCGGTAGCAGCAGCCGGGATCACGCCGATGCGCGGCCACCTCCCACATACGCCGAAGCAGTGAAGGGAGACCACAAAGTACAAGACCATCAAACAGGTCAAGCCTGAATGAGACGAGGACAAAGGCAGTTGCCTCGCAACTTGCTGTCTGTTGTCTCGAAATACTGCTGCTGCTAGGGAGAGACCAGTAAAAGGATTGTCTCCACAGTCCTACATACTGTTGGTTTTTTTCTCCCACCAGGCCTTACGAACCATAAGCTACGACCACCTGCTTACAACGATTGGTAATGGATAATGACAATGTGCTATATGTATTTGCTTGACTGTCTTTGATCAGCGCGGTCACTAACTTTCGGGCCCGTCTCGAGGGCCGCTCGCTGATCTGGCTCTTTAATGTTTTGTTGTGAAGATAAACCAGGAGAATAATATTAGCATTAGCTTAAAAGGTAGCTATAGGGTCATAGACCACCATTGTTCTACCAAGAAATCCAAACCCCTCCCCAAAAGTCTCTCTCACCGCATAATCCGTCCGCGTACTAGTAAGTAAGTTAGTAGGGAGGGGAGTGTCCACCAGAAGCCCGCAGAAGCGCGGCGTTTCCGCATGACCGCCTTCTTTCCCGGCTGCCGGCCGGACAAACAAGCCTGAGGAATGAATCTGAGCCGAGTGACTCGTCCGACCTCCAAGCAAACCGACGACGACAACGACGAAGATACAGCATCTGCATTGGCCCCCTGTTGTTAGCCCTAGCAGCAGCAGCGGTCATGCAGTCCATGCCATTGCTGCTCAGGCAGTCACTCCGGTCCAGCTTCCAGGGTCTTAGCCGCACTACTACTACTACCACCTCCTCCCGCCCGCTGCGAAGACCGCTGCTACGACTACTGCCCGCCGGTGTCGTCCCGCAGGCTCTTTATCCTGGCCGAGAGACAACAACACCCCGGAGCTTCTCGACCTGCCTGCAACATCAATTCCGGACGCAAACCTCGGTGTACTCGTCAAATGAATCGGAGAAGAAACAAGACGTAATTATCCTGGGAGCCCCTCCCACCAAAGACACCCCGGCACCGTCACCGCCGCCGCCGCCATCAGCTATCCCTGAACAGAACCCACATGTTGAGTCGGATGCGGGGAGAGACAGTCCCGCCGCGGCCGCGGCCGCTGCTGCTCCTACAGAGGAACAGACGCCAACGACCGCTGGGCCTGAAGCAGCGGAGCCAGAGGGAAAGAAACAGGAAGACCATGCTGGCGCAGACGCCGCGGGATCTGGGTCGCAGCCCGGGGGTCTCCCATCCTACCTGGAGAACCGACGGTCGCAATTCGCCAAACAGTTCAGCGTCGTGATGGACAACCTCCAATCGAACATCTTCGTGGCCGGGCAGCGACTGAACGACCTGACGGGCTACTCCGCGATTGAGGCATTGAAGAAGGACATCCAGTTCCAAGGTACGAGAAAAAGCTACAGTCTTCCGGACATAAGACTCCACCACCAGTCCAAGATTTCTAACCTCACTTTTTGTTTGACAAACAGAGGAACGACTTCGAGCCGCCCGCCTGCAAGTCCGCACCGCCAAGGACACCTACGCCGCCGCCATCAACAACCGATCGACCTCGCAGCGCGAGGTCAACGAGCTCCTGCAGCGCAAGCACGCCTGGTCGGCCGCCGACCTGGAGCGGTTCACCCACCTGTACCGCAACGACCACACCAACGAAGTGGCCGAGAACGAAGCGCAGCAGGCCCTGACCGCGGCGGAGCACGAGGCCGAGGAGGCCGCCGCCCAGCTGAACAAGAGCATCCTGTCGCGCTACCACGAGGAGCAGGTCTGGTCGGACAAGATCCGCCGCATGAGCACCTGGGGCACCTGGGGCCTGATGGGGGTCAACGTGCTCCTGTTCCTGATCTTCCAGATCGCCGTGGAACCCTGGCGCCGCAAGCGGCTGGTCAAGGGCTTCGAGGAGAAGGTCATCGAGGCCATTGAGAAGGAAAAGACCCTGAACCAGGCGCAGATCCTGAACCTGCAGACCGAATTCTCCCAGCAGATGGCATCCGCCACGGCCAACAGGGCGGAATCCGAGCCTGTTGCTGCTGCTGCTGACCCCGTAGCAACCTCAGCAGGTGCCTCAACAGAACAGGCCACCACCGCCATCGCCGCCAGCGAAGCTATCCCGAACGAGCAAGAGACCAACCCAGCCCTCCCGGCGTCCGCTCCGGTACCGCCCGAGACCGAAACCCAGGCCGCACCTCCCGCCTCAAACAACAACACCAACAACAACAAACTACAAAATGTCCTCCAGGCCTGCAAAACCCACTACTCCCGCATCCCTCCCTACGCAACCCTCATCGAATCCTCGCGTCGCTATCTCCGAGACCTCTTCAGTGATCGGCAGATCACCATGACCCAGCGAGATCACTCTGTCCTTGCCATCCAGAGCGCTGCCGCTGGTGCAGCTGTCATCGGGCTGCTAGCGTTCTTCATTCGTCCACAGTGAGAAGTACCGTTGCATCGTGCTGAAATGGACGTTCTTGTGTATGTTCATGTAATAAGCATTGATTTTTTGTGGTTGGCGGAAAAGAACGTCCTCCTGTATGTATTTGTATAAAGACCTCCCAAGACATAAATAAAGCGATGATGATTTTTTTTCCGTATCAACAAACGACTTTGATATAGCAGGTATTTGGGGGGGAAGGGTTGGTTTAGTAAAGCCTGTAACGGTGGTTATGGTCTTGTTTGTCTATTGAATGGCAGGTTTAGCAAAGAGGATTACACATGTATCAATGAGTGGCCCCGTTGAAAGCTCCGAGGGTGCCCAAACCTGATATCCAGAGGATAAGGACCCAGAGAATCAAGGCAAGTGAGCGGCAAATTGTGATGGTGATGTCTTGGAAACGATGAGGATGACAAAAGAAACAAGAGGCTCGGTTTTTAGCGGGATCCCATATTAAAACAAGGTCTCTTTATATCTTGACAAAAGACGGAGAGAACAAAAAAAAGAGATAAGAAAAAGAGGATTTCATCTAAAGCACAGGCACATACAGACACAACAACACACGCGTACATACACACAAACCTTCTCCGTCATTCCTTCCCTGGCGCTCTAAAAAAAGGGTTTGCTTGGCTAGCCTGCTCTTTCTATGCCGGCGAAAAGCGCACTTCCCCCCTTAATTGCACATGAGGTTTCGATTTTTGGTCGGGGTTCCGTTTAACCGATGACGAGGGTGTCCTCGGAGGGGAAGTTGTACTGGGGAACCTCGAGGTTGAGGGGAGCGGGACCCTTTCTTATACGGCCGGAGATGTCGTAGTGGGAACCGTGGCAGGGGCAGAACCAGCCGCCAAAGTCACCGGATTCACCGATGGGGACACAACCCAAGTGGGTGCAGACACCTAGACGCAAGAGGAGAGGGTTAGGGATCGAGTTGAGGTGGTCGCGGGCGACGGGATGCACATACCAAGCATGACAAGCCACTCAGCCTTCTGGACACGGTCCTCATCAGCCTGGGGGTCACGGAGAGACTGCCACTCAGTCTTCTGGGCCTCCTCGATCTCATCCTGGGTGCGGTGACGGATGAAGACGGGCTTTCCACGCCACTTGATGATAACCTGTATGCGGGGGAACAGCGGTCAGATATCACAGTCGCACGAGGGCGAACCCGGCCGGGTAGTAGGGGAGTGGAGACATACGTTCTTGCCCTCAGGGATAGCGGCGAGACCGATCTCAACCTTAGCCTGGGCGAGGACGTCGGCAGAGGCGGACATGTTGACCAGGAAGTCTATTGATATGATCCCACGTCAGCGATAATGATCGGAGCGGCAAGGCAAGGCAGCCCATGAATCCCATCCATCGAAGTCATTGATTCCCTCCAGTTGTTGTGCACCGTCATCCCACACAAGTCCAAGCTCATATGCGAAACACTGAGAAGAGTCGGAGTCACCCACCCTGAACGGTAGCCTTAGCACCGACGGCAGAGGCCAGACCGAGGGAACCAGCCATGAAGTAGGAGAAGACCTGGTTGGAGCGGGGGCCCTTCTTGGAGGAGTATTTGCTGAAGTCGGGGATCTTCACGGTCTGGTCATAGTCCGCGGCGGGGGTGAAGGGGCTGGCGAAGCTGGATCTGGCATTGGAGACTCCCCTCCGCTGCTGGTAGGAGGCGATGGCGGCGCGAGGAGTGGTGAGTTGTTGCCGAGCGCAGGCGCGCAGGACGGAGTTGGAAGCGGAGGCGAGAGACATGGCGAATGGAGGCAATTGCACAGTCAATTGCAAGGATAAGGAAGGGGACCGCTAAGAAAGTGGTGGGTGGGGAGTGGAGGAGGGGGGGGGAGGAAAGAGAGATATCCGGGGAGGAGATCGGAGGAGGATTTGATTTTCCTTGAGGTTGGAGGTTGAAGTCGGAGGCCCGGCACTCATACGGAAAGTCGAACCAGAGCTTTCGCTACGGCAAGCGATCGGAATCACGGCGCATTTCATTGGCTCGCAGCACCCGTCTTAGTCAGAATCTCACCTGACGTATGGCCATTTGATTATCGTCCAATCTAATCATTGATATCTATGTACTGCATGATGAGAAGTATCATTACAGTCGTTGTTAGACAATCCTTCATATGCGCCATTTAATTCAATATAATGAGTATATACAATGCTTGACCCAGCTATTGCACTGCGCTGGACTCTGGTGCAATGCTATTAGTTGTCACCCTGTCCGTCCCGATCCCGTCCAATGCTATTATCCAGATTCCCAATGCGGTTGACCAGAGACCAAATGAAGAGGTCCGATTGCTTTGGACCAATAATGAAGAGATAAGAAATAAAAGGAAAAGAAAACAATAATCAACCTATTTTGTGACCAAGCGGACCCCCAAAGAACTCCCCAATGCCATGCAATGCTCCATCAGATTGTGATCATGTGCCACAGTCACTGGTCGGCCATCTCTACATCTTCATCCTCTGTCGGTGCCTCTACCGTTCGATCCACCATCATTGTCACCGTTGGTGGTCGAGAACCCCTTGATAGTTTGTCATCTGAGCCCGGTTGAGTCTCTTCGTTACCGTCTACCTCGGGCTTTCCTTCTGGCGCTGGAGGTATGCTGCCGTTCAAGGTGCGCTGTCCCTTTTCGTATCCGGCTTCTCTGCTCGCCTCCTTGGCCCGCTTCTCCTTGAATTGCTTGTACGTTGTTGTCTTGGGGATCACGTCGGAGAGGAATTCGAGGTTATCGATGCGCGACACCGCCGTAGCTATGGCCAGAACCGTCAGCCTGTTGCACTGTATTTGGGTCAGGATCTTCTCTGCTACTAACCAAGGTCCTTGTATTGAATCGTTTTGCGTGGTTTCCGTTCCGACTTGACGACATTATGGCCTTGTTCAGTGAGGTATTGGATAAACATTTCCTGCATGACATGGGACAATATGTGAGCCGAAGGTGCCTCCATGAGACCACCGAGAGAAAAGACAAAGCACGAACCGTAGCCATAGCAATAACGAACGTGGCGTTACTCGAGCACTGAACAATATCTTCGTCGAGTTGGATGATCTTTTTAATTCGCGTTACTGTCAAGTATGATCAGTCAAAGCCAGCTGGAGAGAGTTCTTGTCCACATACTGGGAAGAGCGCTCTGGCCGGTGATCTCTTGGGAGGCCGAAGACTCGGCCGCAGATTTGTCTTTGGGAGGCATTGTGCAGGCGCGTCGGGAATTTTCCCCTCAGGATAACAGCAATGAGCAGCTGATGGTATGGTTTGAAGCTTCAGAGAAGAACTATATAGATCGGTATACTTTTGTGTGAGCTGGTGTTGAGAAAGTGGTCTGCGGAGGCGGAGTGGGTTGACGATAGCGACGCGCGCGGGCCTTGAAACCCACCGCGCGTGGCGGAAGTGGAAATTTGGTCCAATCTCCAAGAATGATCCTCAATAGAAGATCAGTGGAGTGGGACGCACTTGGTTCTTTTTTTCTGTATGTTTATGAGCTTGTGTCTCTGTAGTTAATCGTCTGAACAAGTGTAGCTCTGGCAGTTTACCAAGTACGACCCTAGAAATCTTAATTATTGTTTTGTCTTAAAGAATCCCTACTCCTTTCCACCTCCATTTTGTTATCGTCTCTCTCTCACGTGGGCGGCGGCCGCGCATCTACGGAGCTCTCTCTAACTTACTCTTCCATACTCATCCGTCGCAATCATCTCCGATCTACGCCAAGGCCAGATCATGCTCTTGTCGCCGACTCAACCGATGGAATGAACTCCATACCTGCCTCATCCACCTCGGCCCATCCACCCTCAGTCTTGGCTGAGCGGCGGAACTGGAGGAGGTTATCAGGCTTATCTGTTCTATCATCACCCGTCGATGAACGCCCGTCCACGGCCAACGGCCATGCCCCCGCCATCACCGAGGAGATCAGCGAGATCAAGAGATACGAGGACTTCACCACCATCGACTGGGTCCAGGATGCGATCCACGAACAGTCCCGACGGCGAGCGAAACGGCGAGACGGCTTTGGCTTCTGGGACCAAGAAGGCACTTTTGGGTGGAGACGCAAGGTGCGCGAATCTTATAACGCTGGGCAAGCTTGGGTCGTGATTACAATTGTCGGCGCGGTGATCGGCCTGATCTCGGCCTTGCTGAACATCATTACGGAGTGGTTGTCCGATATCAAACTGGGCCATTGTACGACTGCGTTCTATCTCAATGAGCAGTTTTGCTGCTGGGGTGCGGAGGGAGGTACGCTGTCGCTGTTGTCGCTCCTGTCGCATCGGCCAATGTGAGCTCATTCTTACTATAGGTTGTCCCGAGTGGAAGCCCTGGACGTCCTTTTCGTTCGTGAACTATATCATCTACACCTTTTATGCGGTATGTTGGCCTTATTGCACTCGTGTTTCGAGCGTTGCTGAAGGTTGCCTCGAGGTACTGTTCGCTTTTATCGCCGCAAGTCTTGTTAGGTCATTCGCACCGTACGCCGCAGGCTCCGGAATCTCCGAAATCAAATGTATCATTGCCGGGTTTGTCATGAAGGGCTTTCTGGGGGCATGGACACTGTTGATCAAGTCAATTGCACTTCCGTTGGCTATCGCATCCGGTCTTTCCGTGGGAAAGGAGGGACCAAGTGTTCACTTTGCCGTTTGTGCCGGCAATGTGATCTCACGCTTCTTTGAGAAATACAAACGAAATGCCGCGAAGACAAGGGAGGTGTTGACAGCGACTGCGGCGGCGGGTGTGGCAGTTGCGTTCGGTAGTCCGATCGGCGGCGTGCTTTTCTCTCTCGAGGTAGGACTCTTGACTTGGCCAAAAGTGTTGTCTACTTACAACGCACAGGAGGTAGCGAACTATTTCCCGCTCAAGACCCTCTGGCGCAGTTATTTCTGTGCCTTGGTGGCCACAGGAGTGTTGGCGGTATGTTATCCACAGCTCTCCGACGAAGGCAGTCCTACTGACTTGGCTGGCAGATGATGAACCCCTTCCGAACTGGACAACTAGTCATGTTCCAGGTGCATTATGACCGAACCTGGCACTTCTTCGAATTGATCTTTTTTGTCTTGATTGGCGTTTTTGGTGGACTGTACGGGGCACTTGTTATAAAGTGGAACCTCCGGGTCCAAGGCTTTAGGAAGAAGTATCTCTCGCAGCATGCGGTCATGGAATCGGTCATTCTTGCAGGCTTGACGGCTGTTCTCTGCTACCCGAACATGTTTTTGAGGATCAACATGACGGAAATGATGGAAATTCTGTTCCGTGAATGCGAGGGTGGCCATGACTATAACGGTCTCTGCGAGTGAGTCTCACATCTTCTTTGCCTTTACTTGTTGTTGACTTGGGAACAGGGCCAAGAATCGGTGGACGATGGTGGGGTCTCTGGCCGTGGCTACGATCCTTCGTATCTTCTTGGTTATCATATCGTATGGCTGCAAAGTGCCCGCCGGTATTTTTGTGCCTTCGATGGCCATCGGGGCATCATTTGGCCGCTTTGTCGGCATTCTGGTGCAAGCTTTGCATGAGGCGTACCCCAAATCCCAATTCTTCGCGTCTTGTGAGCCTGACATCCCATGCATCACACCGGGCACATACGCATTCTTAGGAGCAGGAGCAGCTCTGAGTGGTATCATGCATTTGACTATCTCAGTGACTGTCATCATGTTCGAATTAACAGGCGCGCTGAACTACATCCTTCCAACCATGGTAAGTCTTTCGAATGTACGACTTGGAGTATCAGTATAGCTAACGTAAAGAAGATTGTGGTCGGAGTCACTAAGGCCGTTGGTGATTGCTTCGGAAATGGTGGCATCGCAGATCGCATGATTTGGGCCAATGGCTTCCCCTTCCTTGACACTAAGGAGGACCATGTTTTCAATGTGCCTGTGTCCCAAGCCATGACAGCCGATCCAGTCTCCCTCCCTGCAGCTGAGTTTCCTGTTCGCGAAGCGGAGCATCTCCTGAACGACAATCAATTTCAAGGCTTTCCCATTGTCGAGAACCGGACAAACAAGACCCTAGTTGGATACATCGGTCGTACGGAGTTGCGATACGGGATTGACCGTGCCAAAGCTGAGGGTTTGCTCTCTCCCAATGCGACATGTGTGTTCACCAAGGAAGCCGCGGAAGCCGCCATCGCTCGCCGAGCGGCGGCGGCCGCTTCAACCTCCGCCTCGCAGCACCTGGCGCCCGAAACCTTCGATGACATTCACTCTAACGCCGGTGCAAGCATTGTGGACTTGAGCCGATACGCTGATCACACCCCGCTGACTGTCCATCCCCGGCTTCCCCTTGAGACCGTGATGGAGATCTTCAAGAAGATGGGCCCGCGCGTCATCGTGGTCGAACACCGCGGCCGCCTGACGGGCCTGGTCACCGTCAAGGACTGCCTCAAATATCAGTTCAAGGTTGAGGCTGAAGAGCAGGCCCTGGCAGCGACCAGTCCCCCGCAGCTCTCCCTTGGAGGGGCGTCGAATCCTCGCGCGAGCGACACGCTGGAGGAACGATTGTGGACCTGGATGCAGCAGGTAGGGTCGTTGTTCTCCTGGGAGCGAGCCTCACGGATCCGACTGGGCAGTCGTAGGTCGGAGTCCCGACCATCAG